AAAGATTATGTACATTTCCAGAGCCAAAATTCTTTAAACATGATTTCATTTTGAGAATTAAATAATAAGCAAATCCAAACCAGTCAAAAGCGCACAAATGAAATGAGATGTCATCAGGGCTTAAGCGACAATATTGGACGGAAATTATGTTGTCAGTTCCACTTTATTTATGATGAGGCACGCAGCTTGAAATCAAGCTTGAAACGCAAGGGCAAGTCCCACACACTTTAAATGAGATCCAAATTGGACCTGACATTTTAGATTAAGCAGAATTGAAGCTGAATTTAATTTGAACACAGATGTTGTGGGGGGGGTCTTTACATTTTTTCAGCTAACCTAAAGGAGCATGCCATTTGAAGTACACATTTTACTATGATTCTCCATTGTGAATCTGTTTTTGGAGAAAGGCAAAGTTTACTGACTGAGTTTGAGGTCGTATGTTCCGGCCTTACAGTTTAGAAAGGATTTGGTGATTATATGTCCTGGTAAGAGATGAACTGCTGCCATGGGCAGTGAATGCTATCTTTAGTAAGGGAAAATGACAAAATATGAGATCTCTTACCAAACATAAAGGCTAAAATGCAATGGACTTACATATGAAAAATAAGTGTAGACTTACACACTGTATAGTTTAAAGCTCACTGTGTGTAGACTGCAATGAAAATACAAGATTCATACAGAAAGAACCATAAAATACAATATAATTGGCTCTCTAGGTGAGAGTGTCAGCTAGGTGTGATCACAAATATTGCATGTACAGTCTTGTGCAAAGCGCAGAGAGCACTCATTTATTTCATTTACAGACAAACAGGTTATTAATTATTAAACATCTTTAACAGAAATGTACAAAAGCCAACACTAAGACAATGTCAAACATCAAATTTATAATTTAATGCGTCCGCTCCTTACTTCTGCGTACCCTTCTGCCACTCTAACTCTATCCTTCCAATCTTAAAACCAGCCAGTTACTCTTTCCAGAGGTGTTTCTGTCCATCATTTCCACTCAACTCAGTGCTATGGGTCTCAAAAAAGTGTAGTTGTCAAGAAGCTCTTACTGAGAAAAGGAAACGGACAAAAAAGAACAACATTCGCACTAGAACCCCGAAACCAGACATCTAAAACATGGAGTAAGGTTTTATTAAGTCCAATTTGTAATTGGGATTATTTGGATTGCGAGAAGCAGAAAATTCAACCAACTTCTAAGACTGAACTTCGGAGGTGTGGAAAAATATCCCTGTGGATTTCTTTAAAAACTGAAAGCAAGTCTCCTGAAAAGAACAGAAGCTATAACAAAGGCAAAGAGTGGAAAGAATAAATACTGAAAAATATGATATTATGTTTAGTACTAAAGCACTAGTACGTAACCTTGGTGTACTAATGGACTCTGATCTTAGTTTTAGCAGTCGTGTCAAAGCAGTTACTAAATCAGCTTTTTATCACCTTAAGAATATCAACGAGGTCAGAGATGTTCTGACTAAAGCAGACCTGGAGAAACTCATCCATGCCTTTATTTCTAGCAGCACTTATCACTGTAATGGTCTCCTAACTGGACTCCCAAAAAAGATAATCAAACAGCATCAAAATGCAGTTGCCAGAGTGTCACTAAGAGTAAAAGAAGGGAACGCTTCACTTCATTCTCAAATCCTTACACTGGCTACCAGTCTGTTACAGAATAGAGTTTAAGATACTATTACTGGTCTATAAATCGCTCAATGGTGCAGGATCAGCATATTTGTTTTATATGTTGCAGAGATACGAGCCAAGCAGAACTCTCAGATCATTAGGAACTGGTCAGTTAGTCCTGCCAAAGGTGAAGACTAATCATGAAGAAGCAGCGTTTAGCTACTACACATGATGAAAAAACTGACAAACAAAAATGCAACATTGCAAAGAATAACTAAAAAATAATGGAATTCATTGCCTTGAATGACCAACTGTTCTCTGTAATTGAGGATGTTGGATTAGGCACTGTAGCCTACATACTGTAAGCATTTTATTAAGTTTATTTTAAGCACTGTGCTCAATTTTGTTCTATTGAAAGCAGACTTTTATCAATAACTGTTCAAAGCTATGTTTAGTTTATTAAAAAAGCTTTTTTGGTTTCAGTTTCTGTTTTGGTTTCCAGCCAAATGAGTCTTGAATTTTGATTACGGTTTCAGCCAAGGATTTTCGTTTTTAGTGCATCTGCAGTTTGGCAGTTGTGGTTTTATCTGATTGTTTATCTTGTTTTTTGGCATTTTTTTTTCTTGTTTGTTTTCTTCTTTGCATGTTTGCATGGCTGTAAGGCTAATCAGTGAGAGGAGTGAGATTAGAGGAGTGATGACTAATGAGGGGGGGAAACAGCACAAAGCATAAGCATATTCAATTTTACTTCACCACAGAGTGCTTTTTGAAGCTCTGTGTAACTAAAATCAGAAAATTAGCACGTTCACACAACAAGCTCCGCTCTGTCACCTTTGGAAATTGACTGCGAAATAAACAAAGATCTCTCAGAGGTATGAAGTGTAATTTTTCCCAGCTTACACTTGCGCAGCCAATTAGAGGAAACGTTTTCCGTCGAGTGAAGTCAATCCACCTCCAGAGCATATATTAGGGTGAGAACATCATGCATTCTGCCTATGATCCAATAAAAGCGTTGCTTTGCCAGTGACTTGCCTTCAGCCATTAAACCAGCTCCTCTTTTTGTGCACTATACATGCCAAAATACAGTGACAGGACCTGGAGAAATGGCTTTCTACCACAACACAAGCATTATAAAATCTTTCACGTCCACATGAGGAGACAGTCTGATTTCAAAAGTGAGATGCTTTCTGGCTGAAGCACAGCCTAAGACAATTAGCCGACTAAAATCTGATTTTGTCTGTGCCTGCTTAGATGGGCCTGCAGTGACAGTTGGTCGTAGATTGAGGGGAATGCACCGGAGATCGTATTTCAGACTGCAGAGGGGTCTGTTTTCTGCACTATAATGGTGCGGTATTCTCTCCCGGAGCTGGGAGCGGTGAATGTGGACAGCCTAAAGTGAAATACATACTCAAAGCCAAGCCACAGCATCCTCCTGCAACACTTTAGACCAGCCTCAGAAACACTTTAGCTGCTTTTACCAAACCCTCTACAGCGCACTATAATGACTTTACATTACCAAACCCTCTATAGTGGGTATAAGACCTTTTAAATGATTTAGAAGCAAGTTATACAATAGATGCAGAGGAGACAAAAGGCGAACGCAGCTGAATCTGAATGTAATTTCAAATAAAAGTAAATTAAAAGGCACAACTGACTTCCACACGTTTACTTTTGTTACATGATTTCAAGATAATGACCTTCATACGTTATTTCTTAAGTGATAGTTATGAAACTTTAAACTGATTTCATAAGTCAATTTGCCAACAACCAATGCATCACATTTGATATGCTTAATAAACTATTATTTGACAAATATATTTGTTAAAGCAGAATTTAAACCTAATTTTGGACAGCTGATAGCACATTATTTTATATCTCTTTGAACGGTAGTGTTATGGTCACTACCGACTTCCCTCACTACTGTGAGTTTGGACAGAATTTTGTCGGGCTCAGACCAGGTTTAGGGGGCAGTATCAGACTCAAACCACAATGCTGTGCGTTGGGTTGGACAGAAAATGGGTTCGGACCAAATTTGATTACATTTTTAATCTCCAGGTATAATTTTACACAGCTTCCAAGCTCAGTCTTAGAAGTTGGTTGAATTTTCAGTGTCTCACGATTAAAATCTGGACAGTCCATTGTTCTGAGAACACCAGGTACACAGGTAACAGCTACACATCCTTTCAGACCCATAGCACTGAGCTGTGTTCTCACAGTAGAAGGATGGACAGAAACACCTGTGTTTTTTTTTTTTCAGATCTGAAGCAGCTTGAGTTTCTCCTCTCTCTCAAAGATGAAAGCTTTAAGCACTGTTTATCTGATGGGGACAGTTTTGGTGTCTACCAGGTCTTGCATTGTTGAGAGGAGTTTCATTTTCGCTATATATTTTAACACTTTTTTGAACTCCAGTTTTGGAAACTCCCCTTTTCACTTATTTTCTCTTATATATATATATATATATATATATATATATATATATATATATATATATATATATATCTCCTCAAAAATAACTCCTTCAGTCGAATTAAACACACTTGAGAAAGACATTTGAAGGCAGCTCAGGTGAGTTTCGGGTGAGTTTGTCTCTTTGAAGGGGAACAATGTTACTGACACCCTTGGGAACAGCTTTTGTTGGAAGAAATGTTTCATGTACTTAAAGGTGGTTTGGACTGGAAATTAAGTAACATGCAGCCTACTTGGAATATTGGGAAGGTGCTCTTTATTCATTTTACAGCCATCTGCAATGACTGTAACAGTAATAAAGCACCACTTATCTATTGGTAAATAAGATAGTAGTATATGCTTTAGGCCACTCAACAGTAGTTGCTAAAATCTATAACACTGACAATAAATTTGGCTGCTTCAAGAAGAAGTGGAAGCATCACCTGTGTTAAAGTTTTCACTCATATCACTTACATTAGCTGGATAGCTTGTTGCTATTAATACATACTTTCATAAAGGCAAACATATTTTTGCCCCACTTTGTAGCCTGAATGTGCAGATGCAATTCCAAGCTCCGACTTCCCATTACCGTGTTATATCGATCGCAAGTTTTATTTACAAATGTCGAATTTTTAATACCTGACTGAAGAGCATCTGAATGGGGAAATCAGGTGGATATGATTAGAGCTGCGATAAAACTGCAGGAGCTAAACAAATTATCCATTAGTTTGTCATTAGTGCCATACAAATTTAGTCAAACCTTTCTGCTCCATGTTAATAAACCTATTACTGTCCATTATTTCTTGATGTTTTTTTTTTTACAAAGTTAGCGTTCCTTCCAGACTTGTGGCCTGTAGCATCTCTTATCAGCCTTATCCAAATTCGTGTGCCTGGGGAGCGTGTTTGGTACCTGTTTGGGCCAGTGTACTCACCGCTGTTGTGGCCGCAGCTTGTTTGGATTCCTCTGTCAAGAAGGCAAGCATCTGTTCCACCTTCTGCTCCTCTTCTGCACTGATGTAGTCTGTGTCTGTGGGAGAAAACAGACAGAGCAGGCATTACTCAAAGACTTTACATTCCCTATAAAAGCTTGAGAGCAGAAAAGTTACCTTGAAAAGCTACTTTTACAACAGATTTTGTATATTTTATAACAGCAACTATGAAGCCTAGATAAGTGCACACAATATGAATCATATCAGGGATGTCTTAACCATTGTACTCCAATACCGGATGCATAACTGACACCCACACCTAATTATATGCTTAATGACAGAGTACACTCAAATCCTAGTACATTGCCATCATAACAGGAAGGAAAAGACTGAATGTTGTGGGTAAAGGTCAGATATGAGATCCTCAACCTTTCATCAAGAGAAACTAACTAGACAGATTGCATAATTTACTCATGTACCTATTGCTGCTGTCACGTCAAAACCTCATAAATTGTTACTGGACAATCATTCAATGCTTTTTCCGGGGGTTTGAATTTCATTACATTTGAAAATGTCATCTGCCCTTCACATTGGATCAGCTTTCCATGATGAATGAAGTCACTTCAAACACAATCATTAAAATGAATGCCTCTAAAGTTAATGTTTTAACCTTGTGTTAAAGTGCTAAATTATTAATGCACTCTTTTTTTTCATGCAGGTAACAGGTAACACATTTTCCTAGTTTGAGCCTTTGAACTATCCATAGTAGTGCAGGCTGTAGCCCAGCTGCAGTGCACCGTATGTTGCTATGATAGAATCCACGATCCACGACTTAAGCACTCTTGTTCAAATACAGCTTTTAAATGGCTTTTTTAAGCAATATCTTCAGCACCTTCAGCAGACTACATTGGACAGTGCTCTCAAGAGACCTATGGATAAATTAATAAGCAGCAAACTAACAAAAGCTACAGCAAAGTGGAAAGATCCAGTTACCCTGGAGAGCTTCCACTGAAGAGCTGGAACCACTAACTGCATATATGATATGTATGATATATACTATTAGTTGGAATGTGTAGCTACTGTTACTAGATGATAAAATGATAAATTTGGAAACTGCATTCACATTAATGCATCATCAATTATACAACACAAAAAATGTCAGGTGGTACAACCACACAGTCCTAAAAAATATATTTTAAAGTTAATAACCACTTTTGCAAACATATAAACTAGTCTTTGTACTTGGGCACCTGTATAAACCTTTGTCCTTGAACTCAAGTTTATATATACTTTTTTCCAAATAAACAAACATTCTTATAATAAAAACGCTATTTTGTGGTTTTCCAAGGCTTGCACCACCTGAGTCAGTTTTCAAAATTTGTGACAGGGCTACTGATCTCAGCATTGTACTATTAATGGTATTCAAGAAAATCAGAATTTACAGACAAACGTTTTTCTGAGTTAAGTACCTTTAAAGCTGTCCTCTTTTGGTTCAAGCATAAAATCATGCAAAACTATTTAGAATTGTTAGAAGTTTCGAGATGGTCGTAAAGGGACTGTCGTGGACAGCGGACAGCAGACGTTTATAATGAGCCCCTCCCCCAAAATGGTCCTGGGGACGGGCACAAGTATTCTTACAAGTACCCTAAAACTGAATAATCTGAATAATCTATGACCTTCATTCTTCAATCATTTGATAGCTCTAAATAAAACACAATAATATTCATCAATTACAATTACAATCCTCCCGTGAAGGCACCACTTCAGAGACACACGGTTTTGTTGCGAGAGCAATAACGTATTCAGGGGTGGAGGACAGTGGTCGTGACATTGTCGCTGTCACTCATATTCAGGTTTCCATTTTTCAAAGTTGCCAACATCAGCCTTGACTGAGTCAGAAAAAGGTAAGCGCCAAGGGAAACGTCTCTTGTAAGGTTGTTACTCAATCTATCAATCATTAGCTTCAAGCGTGGATGCGTCTGAGGAAATTGCAGTAGCAGGACCATGGGAATTCTCCTCCCGCTTCTAGACTCATCATGAATGTGTTTGGACACTGAGATTAGCTTGATAATTATACAGGAGCGTGCAGAGTAGCAAGCCAGCCCTACGCCAGCTTTTCTCCACTAGGCTTTCACCAGTTTCATTCCCCATTTTAATTTCATGCCTGTCTAGTCTGCAAGCTTCTAAATTGGCCTTGGCAATGCCAGTCATCACCATTCCCACCTGGAACCTTTTGGCCGAATGACAGCGTCAATCTCAACAGTAAAGAGAAAAGAACTAGACAATACTAAATTCAAAACCGCACCCTGATTGTGTTAGCAACCTCAGAGCATCTGGAGGGCAAGAGGTCAGCAGGCAAGATCTGCAGACATCCATGATGTGATCAGCTTCCTACAGCGCTCTGAAGAGATGGGCTTCCTGGCAGGAGGCCAGAGTGGACGAAGCAGAACACCTCCGATTAACCAATTTCTTCTGATCCTAACCACATTGCCTGGACAAGACCTGCTTTGATTGTTCCTGATTAGAGGGAATTAGATGTTCCTTGTGTGAGAACTGTCTCCAATTTCTCTTTAGCCAACAATTCGCCTGGTTCTTTTGCTAACTCGTGTTGCAGAAGGAGGTCAAAGCTGAAGCTCCACTGGGGGACTGACGGTCTTATGAGAGTGATCTTAGTGAATGCCAACATTCTGCTGTTCAAGCAGAATTCCATGAACCACATCTGCTGCCTGAGTTGGAGCAGATGGGAACACGTCACATCTGGGGACTTCAATGTGTAGTGATATTTACACTGCATATTAATGAGATGCTTTTCAAAAGGCTACCTTAATGAAATGTTTGGCATTTTTGGGAAGGGAAAATTTGTCCTCAACTGCACAGCACCTTTCATGATAGCCATGAGAATCACACGCTAATTTGATAAATAATCTGAATGCAGGAGGATTTGTTTACAAAATTACATTTTTAGCTAATGTTTTGCTCTGATTTTCTTGCTAGTGGTAGCCAGGAATGAGAACTCACCCACAACCTCAGCTCTCGTCTACTGGCCAATTCGCTTTCCAATGCCATCCCAAGGCATTAACTAGACTCCTGAACCACTCTAGAGGATGTACGTCACTCACAACCTACACAATTGGATCATTCCATGATCTGCTCTAACACGGCTGTTGGGAAACAGGAATTCAGCCAAAGACTGCCCATCTGTTGGAACCACTGAACCACTGGATGATCACTACAACACAGACCTCCAAACCTATTTCAAGAACAGATCTTCTGTGGTGGTTTCTGCTTCCTTCCCAGTCTTCTTGCTTTCTATATATCAGTGTTTTCCAAGTCCAGTCCTAGACACTTTATTGCATTGCGGTTTTACGTTTTTATTGCATTCAGCTCAAAACAGGGTCGATAATATTAGGGATGGACTGAAATTTCAGCCACTAAAACATTACGGCCAAAAATAGCCGAAAGTACCAATTTCAGTCGTTGTCTGAAAGAGAAAAAAAAGGCCAAAGACTTTGGCTGAGGTCAACAACAAAGTGTTAAAATGTTACGCTTAATAAATAATTTGAATGAAATTAAAGTGAGAAACTGTGATAAAAACAGTTCAATTCCTTCGCTTTCCTGCACCAGTTAGCAGAGACATGTTTGGGCAACAGACAAACAGTTAAAAAAAAGTATTTCATGGTTTCTTTGAGGGACATCAGACAAGCGATTTGTAATCACTGCTCAGGTGTCATAACTTCTCTATCACAGGGTTGATACCACTTCAAAACACAACAACCCACTTGATTTGAAGAATAAAGCAGAACAACAGAAGCAAACAAGCTGTAGCCACAGCTTTGGTACTGACTAAAAATTCACAAACAAGACTCAAAGTGCAAAGTATAACAAAAAATAAGAGAATTTATTGGATTTAGGATTAGGATTTAGTGGCATACACTGTAGCAAGCACACTGTGATCATATTAGTAGGTTTATTTGATGCAAACTATTTTCACTTACTCTACGCTCAGTTTTGTCCAACTGAAAGCAGATTATATTAATAATAAAAATGCCTTCTTTATTACATTGTAGTTCATAGTTTAGTGCATTAATTCCCAATAAAATTCCAAATTAAATTAAAAAAATAAATATACATATATATATAAAACTTCTCTTCCTCTTTCTGGTTTCAGCTGTGTCTTAAATCTCGGTTTCAATTTTAGCCAAGAGTTCGTTTTGCTGCATCAATAATAATTATGTAATAAATAGGACCTGAACAATATGAAAACTCCACTCAGTCTTGCTATTGTCTCAGATTTTAGCAAATTTTACTTGCGGTGTGTTCATCATAACACAAAACAAACCTCTTCACATAGATATTGGTGGGTTTTTCCAATCATTAATAAACTGGGGAAACCTTAAAATATAAACCAACATGTCAGTCAGGCCCCACTAATGATACAACTTGGGTAGGTTTGAGCACAGAACTGTGCAGAGGAGGTGGCTCATGACCGGATTTTGGAAATGCTGCTCAGACTGCATGATGAATTCACAAACAACCTGTTCTCCCTCAGCACATGGTTTGTGTGCTGTTTGAACTGCCCCAGATAATCCATAATGCATTGCCAGTGTAGCTGTGCTGGTTCATAACACACAATCACCCTTCAATATAGGCAGGTGGCACTCGCTCAAACTGTGATTTCAGCAGGAAAAGCTCTTTCTAACACAATGGCCCACTGAGGCAATCACATCCAGCAACTCACGCTGGATACTGTCATTAAAGGCTTTTTCATATACTTTAATCTCTGCTTGGTACACGACTGGTTATCAAAGGCAACGGTGAAAACAGGGAACAGCATGAGTGAGTTCGGCTTCCTGTAACTACACACAATTCTTTATCTCATTCTGTCTTTGGATTTTCTTTTGACAAACTCTTTGTTGTTGTTAGACATGAGGCTGAATGCAGAAAGCAATCTCACACTGGACTACGCTGAGAACCATAATCCTCTATATAAAGTAACGTTGGCTGTACACTGAAAATTTCAGGTTGCTCAAAACCCCCCATGAAACTACATCGCACTTGAGCTGCATAATAAACAGCGTGCTGCAACTCATCCAGACAC